CCCCCAGAACAAAAAATAAAGTTTACTATTGAATTTGTAATTGTCTACTTTTTCAATATCTTCATCTCCGCATTTTCCTGATTCTCACCACCACCTCTCAACTGCCTCATCCTGCTCACCAATCCTTTTGATGGCTTCTCCTCAGGTCTCATGCTACCAACCATCCCCCAAAACCCCCCAAAAATCCCTAGCAAAAGTCTTTCATTTTCCCTTATTAAAGCTCTATCAAAATCTTAACTTTTTCAAGCTCACAAAGGTTACCCCTCACACAGGCCCTACCCCCCCCCAATAGTAGGACCCCCTCCCCCTATAAATCACCCTCTGGCCTCATTCTTGTCTTCCAATGCTTTCATCCTGCAATCCTCTTCCGTGCCCAATTCTTCCCAATCAAAGAGAGTATCACCAATTGGCATGGCTCTCTGATCAATCCTATCTGATCTCTTATCAAACGTGTGCCAATACACTCAGAGGACTCATGGTTCTCATGGTTCAATCTCTCATGGCACAGAATCACATCAACCATCATCCATCATCAGGTCCAGGTCCTCATCTCATCATCCATCATCAGGTCATCACCTTTATTAAGGGGATGTGGTCCTCAAATACCTCCAATCTCAGACCTTGTTGACCTTGAAGGGGCGGGGGGGGCGTCTATTAATCCTACGTCGAGAATACAACACCCAGGGTTACGGGCCCTTGACAAAGCAAAACGGGTTCATCTGTTCTGTTCGAGGTCGGCTGCACAGCGAATGATTTCATTGCCACCTTCACAAGTTTTGAGGATTTTGCTGCCGCCGCGCGGATCGAGCCCGCGCGGCTGTCAGGGACCAATGCAATACGGTGAACCTGCCATTTTGCACGGTCGAACAGTCGGCATGAGAGAGATTGGAGTTGTTCAGCTGTGGTAGCTGGTGGAGCAGCTGGTGGAGCTGGGGCTTGGGGCTGGCTCTCCGCCGTCGCTTCGCCCTTCGCCTGGCTGCCACAGTTGCTCACAACCTGCGATCTCTTTTCGCCCCCTGAGCCGCAACGGCTCCAATGGTTGGGACCTGAAAGGGGACAGGGGCAACTCCGGTGTTGAAAGGGTGAGAGAAAGACGCATCACTTCGATGTGAGTCGACCCGAAAACGACATGAATTGTACCATGACCAAGCTGTCAAAGAACGCCAATGTTTCGGGGCTGCGCCGCTGCATGTGAGTCGACTTGTGGTCCTGAAGTAGCCGCATCGTGTCGCTCTGGGAGTGTCGGTGGGCGCAGCAAAACACTTCTAGCGATGAGTGACAATGTGAATGGCCACATGGACGGTTTTGTCCACATGGACGGTGTTGCCACATGCGTCAGCGTCCAAAAGGTCCAAAACCTTGTGATCCTTTGTGTATGTGCAGGCCTTTTTCGACATATAACTTGTGCGTGCCTATTGAGTAAGGGTCAAAAATGGAGTGGACCACTTACAACCCCCAGACACGCCATGGGACATCCATGGGACTGTATAGGACTGGAATGGGACTGCCACCCCAGAAAGACCACTGAAATCAAGAAAACCCCTGGCCGTTTCTCGGCTGTCCGGCAGTCCCATGGTTTGTTTTTTCTGGGTGTCCTGTTCGTTCTCACCGTTGAGTCCAGAAGGCCTGAAAACGAGTCCAGCCCTTCGGTGCCGGGGAAGTAACGACTCAACGGGACGGGACGACGACATGAGCGGAGCAGCGCTCCAAGAAGCGCCTCCGTCTTGGAAAACTCCGATGTATCGGTCTAGCTGACTCTGATCTCGGTGTGCCGCGTTGACGTTGGATTTTTGGCACCATGGAACAAAGGGAGAAGGACGTAGGAGGTCCTGGCATCTCTTCAAATGAAGGATGAAGGGGTAGAAGGTTCATACGAATTCTACGCGTTAGGGTCATGTATTCTGTACGTATGTGGACACCCACACTACCTCCGTTTCAAGCTCTCAAGATGTTTTAAGGACGTTTTAAGGCATTTAAGACCCTTCAAAGACCAGGTGAGACCTACCTTGGGACATGAGACTTGCCACCGGCTCAATTCCCCTGTCCGAATCCCACGAAACTTCAGTCTTGTCAGGGGCGCCTTCTCATTTGTTACAGCCAGGCGCCTTGGACAGTGGCCGCCCCAAACGTGGCCTGTCACGTCTGCAGTCACGTCACGTCACGTGCGGTGTGGAACGACGTTCTAGTCGACTCCGGCGGAAGGCGATGAAAGGCCTTCCAAAGAACTGCCAGATGCTGAAGGGGGGTGGACCTTCCTGCTTCCTGTCTCCTTACTTTCTCTCTGTAAGTATCGCCATGGGAGGAAGATGGTTGCGGAAATACGGGTTTTTGGAGTGATTGTCAGCGGTATCATGAATCAACAGAGGAACCCGCGCAACTGACTGAAACCAGCCAGCTGAACCTCCAAATAGATGGAAAAGTTCATCCCTTTGAGCATGTGAAGGACCGTCTCTATCTCTTTGGGCAACCAAAACACACCTCCAAGCTCCAAAGCAGCACCCTTGGGATGTTTGCCGATTTGGGAACCGATAGACCGGACTTCAGAACTCACATGGCAAGCTGCTCCTCTTCACCACGAGGGTCGACCTATGTCGACCCTCATGAAAAGATCCCCCCTTTCCTGTTAGTTTGTGTAGAAACATGCGCAAAGACCGGTCCAGATCCTTGGTTCAACAGGCAGGTCCGGTGTGGTGAACCTGTCGCATCCGGTCGCCGACCCGATGACACGGACCATTTGAGCCGGACCAGGCAGTCCTGCAGGCGCCATAAAGCGCGGGGAAGCGACCGATATTTGGAAAGCAATCATGAACCGCAATGCGGATCAATACCAATCAAGACACACATTGAAGAACACTTTAAAAAAAGAGAGAACACCTGCTAACCTGCATAGTCATTGTCCAGGCTGTAGGGTCAATCAGGCCATGGATATCCATGCATATCCATGGGCACGCTGGGGTGCCTCAGATTCATCCATTTTCAGGCTTCAAAACTGCGAAGACTGCGACGCGAAAGACTGCCAGACGTGTCGAAATCTGGGCGATTCCTCTTCGTGCCGTGTAGAAATTTTGGAGGTCTCGCAGTCTTGGATCTTCCAATTGACAAGAACGCCACAGTCAGTCTTGGAACGAACAGGGTTTCACTTCCGACAGCGATGGAACTTGGGACAACATGTGTCCACAGGAGCTCTTGGGCCTCCTCGATCCAAGCGTCTCGTCCACGTCTCCGTCTGGTCTCGTCCACGTCTCTGTCTGGTCTCGTCCACGTGTGCACGTGGACAGCTTCCAGGGAGTGTAACTTGCCAGACACCCTGTAGACCGCAGGACAAGAGGAGCACGCTCTAGAGCCGCCTTGCCTGGAACATCTCAAGAGCATTGCCTGGGACCATCATGAGCATTGCCTGGGAACAAGTGCCAGCGAGGCACGAGTTGTAGTTTCAGAAGATCCAAGCCAACAAATGAGAAGTTGTACCGTCTTGCTGCGAGCGCAAGCACATGCAGCTTCGCCCCAGAAAGGATTTGTGTTCTCACGAAGCAAAGGGTCATGGCTTTTCCGAATCTTTCCGATATCCAGTCACACCTGAAACTGGTTGCTTTTGGGACCATGTGTGGGGCGTGTGGATATGGTCTGAGCATGTCCGAGCCAGTTGTGCAGGTTGAATCTGTTGGCAAGCACCATTTGGTGCTGGACTTAGATACATCAGACATGGGACTCAATCTTTCAGTGGATCCCAAGCAGGAACCAAGGTTTTTTCAGTCCATCTATGGTTGAAATAGGTTGTAATCACAGCAGTACTAAGAGGGTGCTTTGGATCTGACTTTGGCACCCCTGGCACCCCACCCAACCCACTCCATCGGTCCATCAGTCCGAAACTCTCCATCGGGATAGCTCCAGTCCGACCCACGACCGATTCCGTTGACCGATTCCGACAGGGGCGTGTAGTTGAATCATGCGACACCCTGAGAACCCAGGGGCTGATTGCCTGGGAGATCTCGCTATTTGAGCTATACGCCCAAAGGTGGGGCCTTGGGCGGTCCCGATTCACCTCGGACTTTCCTGAAATCAAGAAGACTCAACCTATGGTCGACCACCTCTGAAGGGAACTGGTTTTGGACACGAAAAGTCAGACTGACAGAGGTCCCAACAAAAACAGAGATGGACCTGCAACCTTTTTGTATCTTTTTGTCATTGTGTTATTTCCTTAAAAGCCCGCCCTTACTTAATAAAGTAGGTGCCT